CTGAAACTGAGAAGTGACTGAGGAGAGCAGAGAGCAGAGGAGAGGAGATCAGAGAAGAGGAGAGGAGATCAGAGAAGAGGAGAGGAGAGGAGAGCAGAGGAGAGCAGATCAGAGGAGAGGAGAGGAGATCAGAGAAGAGGAGAGGAGAGCAGAGCAGAGGAGAGGAGATCAGAGGAGATCAGAGGAGAGGAGATCAGAGGAGAGGAGATCAGAGAAGAGGAGAGGAGATCAGAGAAGAGGAGAGGAGATCAGAGAAGAGGAGAGGAGATCAGAGAAGAGGAGAGGAGAGGAGATCAGAGAAGAGGAGAGGAGATCAGAGAAGAGGAGAGGAGAGGAGATCAGAGAAGAGGAGAGGAGATCAGAGAAGAGGAGAGGAGAGGAGATCAGAGGAGAGCAGATCAGAGGAGAGGAGAGGAGATCAGAGAAGAGGAGAGGAGAGCAGAGCAGAGGAGAGGAGATCAGAGGAGATCAGAGGAGAGGAGATCAGAGGAGAGGAGATCAGAGAAGAGGAGAGGAGATCAGAGAAGAGGAGAGGAGATCAGAGAAGAGGAGAGGAGATCAGAGAAGAGGAGAGGAGAGGAGATCAGAGAAGAGGAGAGGAGATCAGAGAAGAGGAGAGGAGAGGAGATCAGAGAAGAGGAGAGGAGATCAGAGAAGAGGAGAGGAGATCAGAGAAGAGGAGAGGAGATCAGAGAAGAGGAGAGGAGATCAGAGAAGAGGAGAGGAGAGGAGATCAGAGAAGAGGAGAGGAGATCAGAGAAGAGGAGAGGAGAGGAGAGGAGATCAGAGGAGAGGAGAGGAGAGAAGATCAGAGCAGAGGAGAGGAGATCAGAGCAGAGAAGAGGAGATGAGATCAGAGGAGAGGAGAGGAGATCAGAGAAGAGGAGATCAGAGCAGAGGAGAGGAGATCAGAGGAGAGGAGAGGAGAGGAGATCAGAGAAGAGGAGAGGAGAGGAGATCAGAGAAGAGGAGAGGAGATCAGAGGAGAGGAGATCAGAGGAGAGGAGAGGAGATCAGAGAAGAGGAGAGGAGATCAGAGGAGAGGAGAGGAGATCAGAGAAGAGGAGAGGAGAGGAGATCAGAGAAGAGGAGAGGAGATCAGAGGAGAGGAGATCAGAGGAGAGGAGAGGAGATCAGAGAAGAGGAGAGGAGATCAGAGAAGAGGAGAGGAGATCAGAGGAGAGGAGAGGAGATCAGAGAAGAGAAGAGGAGAGGAGATCAGAGGAGAGGAGAGGAGATCAGAGAAGAGGAGAGGAGAGGAGATCAGAGAAGAGGAGAGGAGATCAGAGGAGAGGAGATCAGAGGAGAGGAGATCAGAGAAGAGGAGAGGAGATCAGAGAAGAGGAGAGGAGATCAGAGGAGAGGAGAGGAGATCAGAGAAGAGGAGAGGAGAGGAGATCAGAGGAGAGGAGAGGAGAGGAGATCAGAGAAGAGAAGAGGAGAGGAGAGGAGATCAGAGGAGAGGATATCAGAGAAGAGGAGAGGAGATCAGAGGAGAGGAGAGGAGATCAGAAAAGAGGAGAGGAGATCAGAGAAGAGGAGAGGAGAGGAGATCAGAGGAGAGGAGATCAGAGGAGAGGAGAGGAGAGGAGAGGAGATCAGAGGAGAGGAGATCAGAGGAGAGGAGAGGAGATCAGAGGAGATCAGAGGAGAGGAGAGGAGAGGAGATCAGAGGAGAGGAGAGGAGATCAGAGGAGAGGAGAGGAGATCAGAGGAGAGGAGAGGAGAGGAGATCAGAGGAGAGGAGAGGAGATCAGAGGAGAGGAGAGGAGATCGGAGAGCAGAGATCAGAGGAGATCAGAGGAGAGGAGAGGAGATCAGAGGAGAGGAGAGGAGAGGAGATCAGAGGAGAGGAGAGGAGATCAGAGGAGAGGAGAGGAGATCAGAGGAGAGGAGAGGAGATCGGAGAGCAGAGATCAGAGGAGATCAGAGGAGAGGAGAGGAGATCGGAGAGGAGATCAGAGGAGAGGAGAGGAGATCAGAGGAGATCAGAGGAGAGGAGAGGAGAGGAGAGCAGAGGAGAGGAGAGGAGAGCAGAGGAGAGGAGATCAGAGAGCAGAGGGGAGGAGAGCAGAGGAGAGGAGAGGAGAGGAGAGCAGAGAAGAGGAGAGGAGAGGAGATCAGAGAGCAGAGGAGAGGAGAGGAGAGCAGAGCAGAGGAGAGGAGATCAGAGAGCAGAGGAGAGGAGAGGAGATCAGAGAGCAGAGGAGAGGAGATCAGATCAGAGAGCAGAGGAGAGGAGATCAGATCAGAGAGCAGAGGGGAGGAGAGCAGAGCAGAGGAGAGGAGAGGAGATCAGAGGAGAGGAGAGGAGAGCAGAGGAGAGGAGATGAGAGGAGAGCAGAGGAGAGGAGATCAGATCAGAGAGCAGAGGAGAGCAGAGGAGAGGAGATGAGATCGGAGAGGAGAGCAGAGGAGAGGAGATGAGATCAGAGAGCAGAGGAGAGGAGAGGAGATGAGAGGAGAGCAGAGGAGAGGAGAGGAGATCAGATCAGAGAGCAGAGGAGAGCAGAGGAGAGGAGATGAGAGGAGAGCAGAGGAGAGGAGAGGAGATCAGATCAGAGAGCAGAGGAGAGCAGAGGAGAGGAGATGAGATCAGAGAGCAGAGGAGAGGAGATGAGAGGAGAGCAGAGGAGAGGAGAGGAGATCAGATCAGAGAGCAGAGGAGAGGAGATCAGATCAGAGAGCAGAGGAGAGCAGAGGAGAGGAGATGAGATCAGAGAGCAGAGGAGAGGAGAGCAGAGGAGAGGAGATGAGATCAGAGAGCAGAGGAGAGGAGAGGAGAGCAGAGGAGAGGAGATGAGATCAGAGAGCAGAGGAGAGCAGAGGAGAGGAGATGAGAGGAGAGCAGAGGAGAGGAGATCAGATCAGAGAGCAGAGGAGAGCAGAGGAGAGGAGATGAGATCAGAGAGCAGAGGAGAGGAGAGGAGAGGAGAGCAGAGGAGAGGAGATGAGATCAGAGATCAGAGGAGAGGAGAGGAGATCAGAGGAGAGCAGAGGAGAGGAGAGGAGATCAGAGGAGAGCAGAGGAGAGGAGAGGAGAGGAGAGGAGAGATTAGAGGAGAGCAGAGATTAGAGGAGAGGAGAGCAGAGCAGAGCGGAGAGCAGAGAGCAGAGAGCAGAGATCAGAGGAGAGGAGAGGAGAGGAGAGGAGAGGAGAGGAGATCAGAGGAGAGGAGAGGAGATCAGAGGAGAGGAGATCAGAGGAGAGGAGAGGAGATCAGAGGAGAGGAGAGGAGATCAGAGGAGATCAGAGGAGAGGAGATCAGAGGAGAGCAGAGGAGAGGAGATCAGAGGAGATCAGAGGAGAGGAGATCAGAGGAGAGCAGAGGAGATAAGAGGAGAGCAGAGGAGAGGAGATCAGAGGAGATCAGAGGAGAGGAGAGGAGAGGAGATCAGAGGAGAGCAGAGGAGAGGAGAGGAGATCAGAGGAGAGCAGAGGAGAGGAGATCAGAGGAGATCAGAGGAGAGGAGAGGAGAGGAGATCAGAGGAGAGCAGAGGAGAGGAGATCAGAGGAGAGCAGAGGAGAGGAGATCAGAGGAGATCAGAGGAGATAAGAGGAGAGCAGAGGAGAGGAGATCAGAGGAGATCAGAGGAGAGGAGAGGAGAGGAGATCAGAGGAGAGGAGAGGAGATCAGAGGAGAGCAGAGGAGAGGAGAGGAGAGGAGATCAGAGGAGATCAGAGGAGAGGAGAGGAGAGGAGATCAGAGGAGATCAGAGGAGATCAGAGGAGAGGAGAGGAGAGGAGATGAGATCAGAGATCAGAGGAGAGGAGATCAGAGGAGAGGAGATCAGAGGAGAGGAGAGGAGAGGAGATCAGAGCAGAGGAGAGGAGATCAGAGCAGAGGAGAGGAGAGGAGATGAGATCAGAGGAGATCAGAGGAGAGGAGATCAGAGCAGAGGAGAGGAGAGGAGAGGAGATGAGATCAGAGGAGATCAGAGCAGAGGAGAGGAGAGGAGAGGAGATCAGAGGAGATCAGAGGAGATCAGAGGAGATCAGAGGAGAGGAGAGGAGAGGAGAGGAGATGAGATCAGAGATCAGAGGAGAGGAGATCAGAGGAGAGGAGATCAGAGGAGATCAGAGGAGAGGAGAGGAGATCAGAGGATAGGTTTGGATCGTCTCAGGAGTTGTTAGGGTTCAGGGTTATAGCCTTTAATGCCATAGCCTTTATTTCCCATCCTCCTTAAAGTGGTGGCCCCTTGGGGAGACACCAATTGATTATTTGTTTCCTTCATGGTGCTCAGAGGATGAGGCCTGTTGTCCAGGCCAGGGTCTCTCCCATTGATGAGGTGTCTGAGAAGTTTCTTACTTTTAAGATGGCTTTCCTGCTTCGACCTATCAGAAGCTAGCACTGTTGTGTGCCGGCGTCCCCTTGTAACTAATGTAAATGATTGAAAGGGTTATTATGTTGCCCTACATCTCATCAGCAATAGGGGTGCTATAGCTTAAGACAAATCTTAAAAATTATGCCAAATTCGGATTTTGGTCTCTACCAAGTTCTTTCTTTCTTTCTTTCTTTCTTTCTTTCTTTCTTTCTTTCTTTCTTTCTTTCTTTCTTTCTTTCTTTCTTTCTTTCTTTCTTTCTTTCTTTCCCACACTTTCTGCTGTGGCGGATGGGAACAGGTGCTTGTCCTCTGGATGTGTAGCACTGAAGCTTGCCAACCTCGCCTCTGCTAATCAGGACTTCAGCTCGTTAGATCTTTGAGAAAACATGAGCTTTTACAGCAGGACTGACGATGGCCGCTCATGCTCAGATCAATGAAACTTCTACTGTTGTGATTGTGAACAGTGCTGGAGTTCTGGTGTTGTGTTTCTGTGTGTTGTGTGGATCTGTGTGTATGTACTGTGATTTACAGCTGCGGTGGCTGAGTTTCCACATTCACTTCATAATCAGTTTCAGGCTGATTACATTCTGGGAGAAATGAGTGCATGACCTCTCTCTCTCTCTCTCTCTCTCTCTCTCTCTCTCTCTCTCTCTCTCTCTCTCTCTCTCTACAGGGCTCGATCCAGCAGCTGGTTCTGACGGCCGATCCCACGGCACCGAACGAGCAGTGTGAGGAGGACGAGCCTTACGTAAGTGTTGTGTCGTCTTTCCATCAATATGTCAAATATAATATATGCATGTGGCACAAAATTAGGCCTTTTTTATAGTAACTTGGGTAACACAATTCTATCAATATCAATACAGAAAACAAAATGAAAGTCTAAATGATATCACGGGTGTCACTATTTTAGGGAATGTCACATTTGTTTTAACCAAGTTGAATGTAAAATGAGACGCAAAATATATATATTTTTTTTTTTTTTTTTACTTCAATGAATTGAATACCATTTCAACAGATTTGATCAGAATTATAAAATATTACGAAACGTTTGGGGTGAGTGACTTTTATTCATCAAGGACGTATTAAATTGATCAAAAGTGTCAGTAAAGACATCTATAATGTCACAAAAGATTCTATTTCAAATAAATGCTGTGTTTTTGAACTTTCTATTCATCAAAGAATCCTGAAGAATAAAATATATGACGGTTTCCACTGAAATATGAAGCAGCACGACTGTTTTCAACACTGATAATAATCATAAATGTTTCTTGAGCATCAGATCCTCATATTAGAGTGATTTCTGAAGGATCATGTGACACTGAAGACTGAAGTAATGATGCTGAAATACAGCTTTGATCACAGGAATAAATTACACTTTACTGTATATTCACATAGAAAACAGATGATTTACATTAGAATAATATTTCACTGTTTTGACTGTATTTTTGATCAAATAAATGCAGCTTTGGTGAGCAGAAGAATTATTATTGTTATGGTGGGGTAGATCAAAATATAGGAAGGTTACAGACATTTGATTTGTTCAAAACTACTGTACCGATCTTTAATGCTAGATTAATTATGTTAGAGAAGGGTTAATCTAACACTTTAAATATATTGATTTAAATGGTTTGGACTGTGTGTCTCTAAAGCTTCAAAAGCATTTCCGAACCCAAAGCCCTTTATGCTGTGCAGTGGAAGTGTCCGGGAGTGAGTTTACAGTGGAGTGACAGCGCCGCCCTGTGGCTGAAGCTGAACACTGCGGATCTGTGTTTAACTGCTGTAAAGCTGTCTTTAATCATGGATTTGGAAAGCCGAAAGGAATCACATTGAAACTGCGTCTCAATGCTTTCAGGCGTCAGGTTACGGAAGCGGTTATGGGATCTACGACGACACAGAGACTGGCGACGAAGTGAAGAAAGTGCATGAAGAGAGAGAATATCCCAGGGTGAGTGACAGCAGCGTTTGATGGATTCCCTTGAAGTCAAATCCAGTTCTCTTTTATTTCAAAGTATAATGTTTTAAGAGGACAGAGTTTTCCCATGTCCTTCAAAGCTATTGCAGTTCTGCTGGCATCACTCACACACACACACACACACACACACACACACACACACACACACACACACACACACTCACTGCTGTGATTGTGACACTGTGTTTGCTGTTGTTTGAGGTTGAGCCGGTGAGAGCGCCTCCTACTGATGCTCCCTCGCTCCACACACACACGGATGATGAAGACTGGGCAGAAAGCTCCGGAGACCACGTGATTATTAACACTCCCACAGGTGAACGTTCAAGCTTTTCCTACAGACATTTTCATCTCATTTTCAGTTTTCCCTTTCTTTCATGTATTTTTTTTAATCCACAACAGTCTTATCTAATTTTTCACCAGTCATATTTGAGCAACTATGTGTTATTCACCTGACCATATTTTTAGTTTACATCACAAGCATTCACAGAGGCCGCAGATCATTTGATTTTTTTATGCAGATTTCTTTAAATGCTACTACTGCAAAATCACAGCTGCATTTATTATATTTAGTTTTTTCAAGATATCTGTTTGTGTTTTCAGAGCCCATCAGATCGGAGGGAGCCTCTCAGGACAGACATGTGAGTGACAGAGTCTGTTTATTCTCTTGTCTTCCACTGTTTCTCTCTGATAATAACCGCTGAGTGCTTCCCAGGTCATCACCATGCAGAAAGGAGAGAAAGGAGATCGAGGTCCAGCCGGTGCGCCCGGAGCGCCTGGATCGCCGGTGGGATCGGGAGAACCGGGGCCCCGGGGCCCTCAGGGGCCGGCAGGAGCTCCAGGAGCCGACGGACAGACGGTGAGGGACCCTGAAAAATACAGCGCTCATCATAACTAACTTTACTTGAGAACAAAATTATTACTTATATATACAATATCATTCAAAGGTTTGGGGTTGGTAAGATTTGTTTCTGAAAGAGTCTCTTCTGGTCACCAAAACTGCATTTATTTGATCAAAAATACAGTAAATACAGTGAAATATTATTACAATGTAAAACATCTCAGGTTACGCATGATTCCCTGAAGAGGGAACGAGACGCTGCGTCGACGCTGTGGGACACTATACCCACAACGCCATAATAACCCATGCCTGTCTGTGTGAAATCATTGCGCACACTAAGAGAGTCCTAACAGGGCATAGCAGATTCAGTTTCTCCTGATCTGATGATAAGAAAGGTGGAGGACAGAAGGCCTGCAGCATGATGGGGCCCGCAACATTAGTAGGGACCTTAGGAACATAACCCGGTCTAGGGTGAAGGAAGGCTTTCCCCATACCAGGGGCAAATCACAGGCACTGAGGAGCAACCGACAAGGCTTGCAAGTCTCCAATTCTCTTGATGGAAGAAATAGCAAGGAGAAATAAAGTTTTCGGTGTAAAGAATTTTCTGAACCCTCTTCAATAGGCTTGAAGGGAGCCAGAGTCAGGTCTTCAAGTACAAAGGCCAGATCCCAAGCCGGTGCTCTAGTGCTCTGTGCCGGCCTCAGCCTCAGGGTGCCCCGGAGAAACGAGTAATGAGAGGATCTCTCCCCAATGATGCACCACCTAGAGGAGTGTGAGAAGCAGATATAGCCGCCACATACACCTTAAGGTGGAGGGAGATGATCCCGCAGAGAAGCTTTCTTGCAAATAATCAAGTACTGGACCAACAGGGCAGTTAACCGGATTCAATTGGCGTTCTACACACCCAGAAGAGAACAGTCTCCACTTCAGTGCATGATGTCTTATCTCTGGACTGGAGTATGGTCTCCACGACCTCACTCGAGAGACCCGATTCTATGAGCTGGGCCCCCTCAGGACCACAGTTTCCACAGCTCCGGGTGAGGGTGATGAAATATTGGCAGCAATGCCTAACCCTAACCCTGGGGATCGCGCACCCAACCGCCCTCCTCGAAGAGCGGAGCGTCCTCACCGACAGCTTCTCGCAGTGCTCACAGTGACAGAGCTCAAACTAACAGAACTCACAGTAACAGAGCTCACAGTAACAGTGCTCACAGTAACAGAGCTCACAGTAACAGAGCTCACAGTAACAGAGCTCACAGTGACAGAGCTCACAGTAACAGAGCTCACAGTAACAGTGCTCACAGTGACAGAGCTCACAGTAACAGAGCTCACAGTAACAGAGCTCACAGTAACAGAGCTCACAGTAACAGTGCTCACAGTAACAGAGCTCACAGTAACAGAGCTCACAGTAACAGTGCTCACAGTAACAGAGCTCACAGTAACAGAGCTCACAGTAACAGTGCTCACAGTAACAGAGCTCACAGTGACAGAGCTCACAGTAACAGAGCTCACAGTAACAGAGCTCACAGTACTCACAGTAACAGAGCTCACAGTAACAGAGCTCACAGTAACAGAGCTCACAGTAACAGTGCTCACAGTAACAGAGCTCACAGTAACAGTGCTCACAGTGACAGAGCTCACAGTAACAGAGCTCACAGTAACAGAGCTCACAGTACTCACAGTAACAGAGCTCACAGTAACAGTGCTCACAGTGACAGAGCTCACAGTGACAGAGCTCACAGTGACAGAGCTCACAGTAACAGAGCTCACAGTGACAGAGCTCACAGTAACAGTGCTCACAGTGACAGAGCTCACAGTAACAGAGCTCACAGTACTCACAGTAACAGAGCTCACAGTAACAGAGCTCACAGTACTCACAGTAACAGAGCTCACAGTAACAGAGCTCACAGTAACAGAGCTCACAGTAACAGTGCTCACAGTAACAGAGCTCACAGTGACAGAGCTCACAGTGACAGAGCTCACAGTAACAGAGCTCACAGTAACAGAGCTCACAGTACTCACAGTAACAGAGCTCACAGTAACAGAGCTCACAGTAACAGAGCTCACAGTAACAGAGCTCACAGTAACAGAGCTCACAGTAACAGAGCTCACAGTAACAGAGCTCACAGTGACAGAGCTCACAGTAACAGAGCTCACAGTAACAGAGCTCACAGTGACAGAGCTCACAGTAACAGAGCTCACAGTGACAGAGCTCACAGTAACAGAGCTCACAGTGACAGAGCTCACAGTGACAGAGCTCACAGTGACAGTGCTCACAGTAACAGAGCTCACAGTAACAGAGCTTACAGTAACAGAGCTCACAGTAACAGAGCTCACAGTAACAGAGCTCACAGTAACAGTGCTCACAGTGACAGAGCTCACAGTAACAGAGCTCACAGTAACAGAGCTCACAGTAACAGAGCTCACAGTAACAGAGCTCACAGTGACAGAGCTCACAGTAACAGTGCTCACAGTAACAGAGCTCACAGTAACAGAGCTCACAGTAACAGTGCTCACAGTAACAGAGCTCACAGTAACAGAGCTCACAGTAACAGAGCTCACAGTAACAGAGCTCACAGTAACAGAGCTCACAGTAACAGAGCTCACAGTAACAGAGCTCACAGTAACAGAGCTCACAGTGACAGAGCTCACAGTAACAGTGCTCACAGTAACAGAGCTCACAGTAACAGAGCTCACAGTAACAGTGCTCACAGTAACAGAGCTCACAGTAACAGAGCTCACAGTAACAGAGCTCACAGTAACAGAGCTCACAGTGACAGAGCTCACAGTACTCACAGTAACAGAGCTCACAGTACTCACAGTAACAGAGCTCACAGTAACAGAGCTCACAGTAACAGAGCTCACAGTAACAGTGCTCACAGTAACAGAGCTCACAGTGACAGAGCTCACAGTGACAGAGCTCACAGTAACAGAGCTCACAGTAACAGAGCTCACAGTACTCACAGTAACAGAGCTCACAGTAACAGAGCTCACAGTAACAGAGCTCACAGTAACAGAGCTCACAGTAACAGAGCTCACAGTAACAGAGCTCACAGTAACAGAGCTCACAGTGACAGAGCTCACAGTAACAGAGCTCACAGTAACAGAGCTCACAGTGACAGAGCTCACAGTAACAGAGCTCACAGTAACAGAGCTCACAGTGACAGAGCTCACAGTGACAGAGCTCACAGTGACAGAGCTCACAGTAACAGAGCTCACAGTGACAGTGCTCACAGTAACAGAGCTCACAGTAACAGAGCTCAGAGTAACAGAGCTCACAGTAACAGAGCTCACAGTAACAGAGCTCACAGTAACAGTGCTCACAGTGACAGAGCTCACAGTAACAGAGCTCACAGTAACAGAGCTCACAGTAACAGAGCTCACAGTAACAGAGCTCACAGTAACAGAGCTCACAGTGACAGAGCTCACAGTAACAGTGCTCACAGTAACAGAGCTCACAGTAACAGAGCTCACAGTAACAGTGCTCACAGTAACAGAGCTCACAGTAACAGAGCTCACAGTAACAGAGCTCACAGTAACAGAGCTCACAGTAACAGAGCTCACAGTAACAGAGCTCACAGTAACAGAGCTCACAGTGACAGAGCTCACAGTAACAGTGCTCACAGTAACAGAGCTCACAGTAACAGAGCTCACAGTAACAGTGCTCACAGTAACAGAGCTCACAGTAACAGAGCTCACAGTAACAGAGCTCACAGTAACAGAGCTCACAGTAACAGAGCTCACAGTGACAGAGCTCACAGTGACAGAGCTCACAGTGACAGAGCTCACAGTAACAGTGCTCACAGTAACAGAGCTCACAGTAACAGAGCTCACAGTAACAGAGCTCACAGTAACAGAGCTCACAGTGACAGAGCTCACAGTAACAGTGCTCACAGTAACAGAGCTCACAGTAACAGAGCTCACAGTAACAGTGCTCACAGTAACAGAGCTCACAGTAACAGAGCTCACAGTAACAGAGCTCACAGTAACAGAGCTCACAGTAACAGAGCTCACAGTAACAGAGCTCACAGTAACAGAGCTCACAGTGACAGAGCTCACAGTGACAGAGCTCACAGTAACAGAGCTCACAGTAACAGTGCTCACAGTAACAGAGCTCACAGTAACAGAGCTCACAGTAACAGAGCTCACAGTAACAGTGCTCACAGTAACAGTGCTCACAGTGACAGAGCTCACAGTAACAGAGCTCACAGTGACAGAGCTCACAGTAACAGTGCTCACAGTAACAGTGCTCACAGTAACAGAGCTCACAGTAACAGTGCTCACAGTAACAGTGCTCACAGTGACAGAGCTCACAGTGACAGAGCTCACAGTAACAGAGCTCACAGTAACAGAGCTCACAGTAACAGTGCTCACAGTAACAGTGTTCACAGTAACAGTGCTCACAGTGACAGAGCTCACAGTAACAGTGCTCACAGTAACAGTGCTCACAGTAACAGAGCTCACAGTAACAGTGCTCACAGTAACAGTGCTCACAGTAACAGAGCTCACAGTAACAGTGCTCACAGTAACAGTGCTCACAGTAACAGAGCTCACAGTAACAGTGCTCACAGTGACAGAGCTCACAGTAACAGTGCTCACAGTGACAGAGCTCACAGTAACAGTGCTCACAGTAACAGTGCTCACAGTAACAGAGCTCACAGTAACAGTGCTCACAGTAACAGTGCTCACAGTGACAGAGCTCACAGTAACAGAGCTCACAGTAACAGAGCTCACAGTAACAGAGCTCACAGTAACAGTGCTCACAGTAACAGTGCTCACAGTAACAGTGCTCACAGTGACAGAGCTCACAGTAACAGAGCTCACAGTAACAGAGCTCACATTAACAGAGCTCACAGTAACAGAGCTCACAGTAACAGAGCTCACAGTAACAGTGCTCACAGTAACAGAGCTCACAGTAACAGAGCTCACAGTAACAGAGCTCACAGTGACAGAGCTCACAGTAACAGTGCTCACAGTAACAGAGCTCACAGTAACAGAGCTCACAGTAACAGAGCTCA